ACAATGTGTGTGTATAGTTTTCTAGGAGATGGATTCCAGGCGTGAAGGTGTTTACAGGGAAATAAAACAGGCCGGTGAGAAAGTCAGTTCAAGGGGTTGTTACTGAGTTGCCAACCCTGGAGTAGAAGAGAAGGAGGAGGTGTTTATCTGCTGGGTCCTGGGCCCACTGGGCGGGGAGGCTCCCTGTCAGTAAGCAAGCACCCCGTTCTGGGTACTGATGCGTGTGGCCACGTGGCCCCCCACCCCCACATCTCATCTGTCAGGTGGGAGGGGCCCCAGGCGGGCGAAGGCACGCTGTGGGGAGTGAGGCTGGCAGGGGCTGCTATCGGGAAGATCATCCCAGTGCCTGGGACTAAGAAGTGAGGCTGACAGGACCAGCAGTGATGAGCAGGAGGGTCTGGGATGCCAGCAGCCAAGCTCCACCTCTCTCTCCGTCCTCCCTCCCCTCCTGCCCCTTCCTTTCTGTGCCTACAGGTCATTGAAAGACAAATGACTGCAGCTTCCCAGATCCATCCCTTTCGCCAGGACTCTTGATCACAAGGGACAGAAGCCAAGCTCAAACTTCCTCCAGGGAAATGTGAATTGATTGGTGCCTCTCGGTGAAAACTGGCTCTAGCATCTCAGATCCAGGAGCTCGGTGGACAGCATTGAATCTCTTAGTTAAGTCTGTCCATTCTTTGCACCGTAGTAACTCTTTATAGTGGAAAAGCAGCTACGAGCAGCCTTAATTTAAGATCCTTCTGGGTTATAGCAGCTCCAGGTGGGGTGGGGAGCCTCTTTTCTTCCAAGGTGCTGGTCTGGGAAGATTAGAGCCTAGTAGTAGGATGCATGACAATCACAGGCCTGGGGTGCAGAGGTGCTGCGGGGGGGTTCCCCCCTCCCCCAACCACCTGCCCTCCTGACAGAAGCGCGTGGGCTGATGGAGGACACACCCTCCAAAGGAAGGCCACTCACTTGTAGCCACAGAAGGCGAAGGGGGAGGCTGGGCTGGCAGAAACAACACAGGCCCTTGGTACACCCCAGGCTACTTCCGGAATGTCTTTCCAGATTGTTCTTCCTTCCCTTGTCCCTTAAGAGAGAGAATTCCCCAACTCCCTCCCACCATTTCTGCAGTACATTCATCTCTCAAACTCTAACCCTGTGGATTTCTATGGTATCTGTGTGTTGCTTGTTCCCCTAACACTGGCTGGGCATCACTGTTCTTCCTGGGGTGGGGGGGGCCATCTCCACAGGACGCAGTGGGACGGGGTCAGCACTGCCCAGGCAGCTCCTTACAAATGTGATGATGTGTTGAAGGCTGTGTGGGAGGGGAGGTGAGGCTGAGGGAGGGGAGAACCAGGCCCTAGGAATTCATCACCCTGCGGTGTCCGGGAGGCTCTGAAGGGCTCTTCATGAGCTCCACGCTGTCCTCCTGCTCAGCAGGAGGACACCTATCTAGTTGTGGGTGAATAATCCAGTTAAGCCCCTATTTTCAGTCGACTTTACACTTTGTTTCATCCCTGTAAAACTGTATTGAATAGAACCTAATTGGAATTTAAGCTTCCTTTGATTTGTTTCAGCTTTATCACAGTATAATTGACAAAATTGTAATATATTTAAGGTGTGCAATGTGATGATTCGATATACATGTACTCTGTGAAAGGACTCCCACAGCAGAGCTAATTAACACATCTGTCACCTCACATCTCACATATTTATCTTTTTTTTGGGGAGTGAGAACATAAAATTCTACTCTCTTAGAAATGTTAGTTACACCGTATAGTCTTATCCATTAGAGTCACCATATTATATATTAGATCCTCATCGTATAATTGAAGGTTTACACTCTTTTACCAGCCTCTGGTAAAGGGGTTCACAGGGATGGGATTCCAGACCCACGCTCCATCAGTATCTTTTCCGAAATCCCCTCAGTGTGGGAAAGGATGCTTTACACGGAGATGGGCTCATCTCAGCACCTGAACGGGAACCGAGAAAGGTTAAGGGATGTAAATGAGCACAGACCTGCTATCTGGGGTTGAGATGAAAAGCAAGTCCATGGGGAGTAAGAGCAGGTTCCGCTGACTTTGATTGCATGAAAAGATGCTCAACATCACTCATTGTCAGAGAGATGCAAATCAAAACCACAATGAGGTACCATTATATGCCAGTCAGAATGGCTGCTATCCAAAAGTTTGCAAGCAATAAATGCTGGAGAGGGTGTGGAGAAAAGGGAACCTTCTTACACTGTGGTGGGAATGCAAACTAGTACAGCTGCTATGGAGAAGAGTGTGGAGATTTCTTAAAAAACTGGAAATAGAACTGCCATATGACCCAGCAATCCCACTCCTGGGCATACACACCGAGGAAACCAGATCTGAAAGAGACACGTGCACCCCAATGTTCATCGCAGCACTGTTTATAATAGCCAGGACATGGAAGCAACCTAGATGCCCATCAGCAGACGAATGGATGAGGAAGCTGTGGTACATATACACCATGGAATATTACTCAGCCATTAAAAAGAATTCATTTGAATCAGTTCTAATGAGATGGATGAAACTGGAGCCCATTATACAGAGCGAAGTAAGCCAGAAAGATAAAGACCATTACAGTATACTAACACATATATATGGAATTTAGAAAGATGGTAACGATAACCCTATATGCAAAACAGAAAAAGAGACACAGATGTATAGAACAGACTTTTGGACTCTGTGGGAGAAGGCGAGGGTGGGATGTTTCAAGAGAACAGCATCGAAACATGTATATTATCTAGGGTGAAACAGATCACCAGCCCAGGTTGGATGCATGAGACAAGTGCTCAGGGCTGGTGCACTGGGATGACCCAGAGGGATGGGATGGGAAGGGAGGTGGGAGGGGGGTTCAGGATGGGGAACACATGTAAATCCATGGCTGACTCATGTCAATGTATGGCAAAAATCACTACAATATTGTAAAATAATTAGCCTCCAACTAATAAAAATAAAAGAAAAAGAAAAAGATGTGAATGAGCACAAACCTGCTATCTGGGATTGAGATGAAAAGCAAGTCCATGGGGAGTGCAGGTTCCGCTGACTTTGATTTCTACCCAGTTTTTATTGCTGTTATTGTACTGAGATGCCTCGTGTTATCTGATGGTGATTTTTAAAAAAATGTTTATTGGAGTAGAGTTGGCTCACAATATTGTGTTGATTTCTGCTGTATAGCAAAGTAAATCAGTTATACATATACACATATCTGCTCTTCTTTAGATTCTTTCCCCATGTAGGTCATTATAGAGCACTGAGTCGAGTTCCTTACGCTATACAGTAGGTCCTTATTGGTTATCTATTTCATTTATAGTAGTGTATATATGTCAGTCCCAATCTCCCAATTTATCCCTCCCCCTTTCCACCCAGTAACCATAAGCTTGTTTTCTACATCTGTCACTCTGTTTCTGTTTTGTAAATAAGTTCATTTGTACCATTATTTTAGGTTCCACATGTAAGTAATATCATATGATATACGTCTGACTTTCTTCACTCAGTATGACAGTCTCTGGGTTGATGGTGATTTTTATGGGTAAAAGAAGAACACACCCAGTGTGGTTCAGTCTGTGATGGGACAGGCCCATTTAATCAGCAATCTGCCTAATGTTTCATAAATTAAGAACTGGACTAAGGAAAGTCTGCATTGGCTCCCCCTCCTCTTGCATCTTTCTCTTTCTTCCAGAGGGTGGCGGTGGGAGGGAGAGAAAGCAGATGAAATGCAGAGATAAAGGCTGTAAGTTTCCGCTGAGGCTATCAGCCTAGGCTACAGGATAAAGGTGCAGTTACGACAGTGACATCTGCCATTTTTTCAAGTGTGAAGAGATGGAGAAGTGTGTGCTGGAATTTTCTGGAACCCTGCTGCCGCCATGCAGGGAAGTTCAGGCTATCAGATCATCTGAGAGGTTGTAGGCTACAGGTGCAAGTTGAAAATAATCACGTCACAGTTTTGACATCACTTTTTTTTGTTCTCCCCCATGGAGAGTGGAGGTCATTTTCTTATCCTCTTTAGGAAGTACTTGGACTCTGTTCCCATTTAAAGTCAGGACGAAGGGGCTAATAAGATTAGTTAACATTTAATGAATGTTATTTTCTACTTTATAAAAATAATCACAGCTAACATTTATTGAGTGATATTTTTTTTCCTTGCAAAAAACAGCTAGCATTTATGGAGTGCTACATATTTTCCAAGCACTGCTTTGAAAGCCTTATATATGTCATCTCATTTCTTGTTACTTTGGAGCTGAAACTATGACCTCCATTTTACAGATGAGGAATTTGAAACAGAGAGGTTCAGTGACTTGCCTAAGAATGCACAGCTAGTTAAGTGTTGGAGATGGTACAGGGAGAAAAGTACTAGTAGTTAAGTATGTGTTAGTTAGGGGCTTCTCTCGTGGCTCAGACAGTGAAGAATCTGCCTGCAACGCAGGAGACACCGGTTGGTATTTGTGTGGGTTAATGGTGTGTGTGTGTGTGGACATGTATGCAGTATAGATTAAAGTTTTAGTTTCTAGTAAAGTAAGATGAGGCTGGCTAAGGGCCCCTGGATGCTGTGGTGGGGGAGAGATGTGGGGTTTGGTGTAATGGCCCAATGCACCTTGTAAAGAGTTTCATTCATCTCTGAAAGGGTTAAAGAGAAAAGTGTCCAGCATCCTGTGGAGGGCATGAGCTGGGGATGGGTGCGGTTCTTTTTTTTCTATCCCTAGATCACCTTACTTTTTCCTATGGGCAAAGAAGACTCAGCTCTAAACAGAGTGTATTGTCTGTAGTACGTTTTGTATTTATTAATATTTACACTGACTTTGAGGGTGTTAAGGGAAGGCAGCTAAGGTATGTCCACACCCTGGCTCTGTCTGCTCTGCTTCAGAACTGCAGGTCATGAAAATAATTCCCAATTCTTCTTAACAGACCGGTGTTAGGACCCAGGAAGGCTCCAGCAGCTGTGGGATATAAACAGAGGAGCAGAGCTGAACAAAGTTTGAGGAGAGAGCCTTACATCACTCACTGTCTCCACCCCGAGCTCCGGGGGGACAGACGGAGGTGTAAGCCTGAGTCACACCAGAAGAGCTTAGGCAGAGACGCTCTGACCGGAGAGCCCCAGGGAGCTCCAGACACAATTCTTCCCGCTTCCAGGAAAAAGGGCTATGTCCAACTCCGGACCTGAATGGAGACAAATGACAGCTCTTGACAGAAAAAGAAAACCGTGAGGGACCCACGATCGCCCGCTGAGCCTCGCCACTGCAGTCCCAGCCCTGGATCGCTTCTCAGGAGTTTAGATCGGAAGCTGTTTCCTCCTCCACTCATCCCGGGGCCAGTTGGTCGCTCCAATGTGTTTATTGATCACTGAAGACTCTCAAGTTTGGAGACAGGCAAGAAACACCTATTAACTCTCCACGACTCTCCCCTCACTCTGCAGTTCACAAACTCTAGCTAAACAAATGGTGTTCTGCTTTCTGGAACCTGTGACAATGTCCCTTTCCCAAAGAACTGAAAGTTAAAGGCAACTCTTTGTCACAGACCCTCAGGAATTCCACTTGGATCATATTTTCACCTCTGAAAAAAACCATGAAGAAGCTGCTGCCTCTTTGCTGCTGGCACTCCTGGCTGCTGTTATTTTATTGTGATTTTCAGGTAACGTCCCCGGGCGGTGCTCACTGAGAAGGGAACGGATTTCTGCTGGGAGGTCCCTTTTGTCTCATAGTGTGATGTTTTGTGTGCAGGTGCACGGTGCCCACGCCAGGTCACAAGTCCATCCAGGTAAGGCAGCTTCCCTCATCTTCTGCTCATGACCTGTCCTCCCTGTCCAGTCCGGGGTCTGGAGGCAGTTTGCTGTGTGTCTCTGAGGCTGTTGGACAGGGAGCCCTTCTTGGGCTCCTCTGGCCCCACCAGCTGTCCTGACACCTTGTCCCCTGGGTCACTCATCGTCCTCCACCTCTGACTTGGAGAAGCAGGTCCGTGTGCCCCGAGCCTCTCGCTCTGGGGCATCTGAACACTTGTGATTCAGGAAATGGGATGTTCGCAGGTGAAGCATCTTCTGTCCTTGACTCATGTCATGCGTCTCCAGCGCAGATACACTTGAGCTGCCTTAGAGCAGCTTTGGTCCCCATCCTTTTGCCCCTGCCCGCTTTTGTCCCCATCCCTCCGATGGGAGCTGGACTGCTCCAGCCCCTCTGAGGAAACCCCTCGCCCACCCCCAGGTGGGTTCGCTTTCCCTTTGCTATCGTGAGTCCTGTCTGGACGCATCACCATGAGGCTTTCCTTGGGGAGGACGGAAGAGGCGAGAAACTTTTCCTTGCTCCTTCCCAGAGAAGGAGGCTGGTGGGACCATGGTGGGGTTGCACTTACTGGCCCTTGTTCCCATTTGCTGCTTGGCTGGTACATGCATGGTGGAGGGGACCTCACACTAACATCCCCAAGTCTTTGCCTGGGACCCGTGAGAACAACACTGGCCTGGGGATGAGCATGCTTCTGGCCATGATTATTGTCTAGAGCAGCCTGCTGCCTCCACAACCCACCAGAGATGGTGGGCGCAGTATCCCCGCGGTGTGAATCCAGGTCCCAGGAGACGGACCCTGGTCTGGTGGGAGCAGCAGCGTGGTGCTGGGTGAAGGTGGACGTGGGCTGGGAGTCTGTCCCCTTTGGAGTGACACGGCCCTCATGGTGGGCCCTGGGGCATCCTGTCATCTCCCTGTCTCTGCCTGCAGGTCTCACAGGGCTTGCCGCCTCTTCTTTTTCTTTCTTTCTTTTCCTTCTTCTTCTTTTTTTGTTTTTAACAAAAGTTTATCCTTAAATGCACAACAAGTTCCAAGACAACACTTCCTCCTGGCTATAGGTGGCAACAGACATTTTGGCAGGGAATCCAGGTGTTTAAGCAGAAATGGGCTTAAGGATTCTCATTGCCTCAGGCACCAGGGCCAGCAGATATTTCGCCAGATTTCTTTATTCCACCTGTGGCCAGGGGCGTTTCCCTGGCAGCCTTCGCTGTTAGTTCCCCAGGTTTCTTCTGCTCCTCCTCCTGTTTCGGCTTGGCTGTCTTATCTTCCTCATCCGTCTCCTGCGCTTCCTCTTGGGCTGCTTCAGGGGCTTCTTCTCGCCACCTTTGCAGCTCAACATAGCACCTGCTGCCCCTTTCCCAGGCCCTTCCAGGCTGTGCTGCTGTTTCTTTTTATCTGCACATTCAGGTTCAATCTTCTGTTGAAAAGGATGTGAAGGTGGTAAATTTTCGCCAGCTCCCCTTTCCTTGGCCAAAATGCTGAATGATCTGGGGATAAATAAATCATTTAGCATCACACTAGAGGGAGGCTGTGTGAGTCCTACCGCTAACCCACGCCTTATAGCTCACGCTGATTTCCCGGGAGATGAGGGGAGGGGTCTGGCCAGGAACATCATGCAGAGCGAACAAAGCGGTCCTGGGACCCATCAAGGAGGAAAGAGAGCTGCAGGGGGGTTCCCACATTGCGCCTTTGGCCACATCTACCCACGTCCACTCGCATCCTAGACTCTCAGCTTCAATGAGTAGCTTGAACCCGGCCTTGGTTTTATAGAGAGACTGTTCCTCTCACATCCTAATTTAGTGTAGATGTTTTTCTGTTGGCCAACTAACTACCTTAGAGAAATCATACTAATACTGACGATCACAAACATGTTACTAAAAAGAAGCAATAGACATTGGAACCTGGGTGGGGAGAGTTTAAGTTCAAAAACCCAGATTTCTGACACATACATGTACACACACACACAATTGAAAAGGATGTGAAGGTGGTAAATTTTCGCCAGCTCCCCTTTCCTTGGCCAAAATGCTGAATGATCTGGGGATAAATAAATCATTTAGCATCACACTAGAGGGAGGCTGTGTGAGTCCTACCGCTAACCCACGCCTTATAGCTCACGCTGATTTCCCGGGAGATGAGGGGAGGGGTCTGGCCAGGAACATCATGCAGAGCGAACAAAGCGGTCCTGGGACCCGTCAAGGAGGAAAGAGAGCTGCAGGGGGGTTCCCACATTGCGCCTTTGGCCACATCTACCCACGTCCACTCGCATCCTAGACTCTCAGCTTCAATGAGTAGCTTGAACCCGGCCTTGGTTTTATAGAGAGACTGTTCCTCTCACATCCTAATTTAGTGTAGATGTTTTTCTGTTGGTCAACTAACTACCTTAGAGAAATCATACTAATACTGACGATCACAAACATGTTACTAAAAAGAAGCAATAGACATTGGAACCTGGGTGGGGAGAGTTTAAGTTCAAAAACCCAGATTTCTGACACATACATGTACACACACACACACACAAACACCCCAGGCCTTGTTTTAAACAACCGGAATATGGTGCAAACAGAACAGTCTGCACACTCAAGTTGCAGAGTCTGATAGAGGAGACAGGCAACAAATATACTAACAAACAAAAACTTTCAAATTATAGTGTAAGCGCCATGGGAAGACAAACAAGGGGGTTGGTAGAAAGAGTGGATGTTGGGTGATAAAAGGTGATCAGGGCAGGCCTCTCAGAGGGTGTGTCCCGTGGACCGAGGCTTGAAAGACAAGCTGGTTATACGCAGCAAGAGATCAAGGAGACTTCTGGGCAGGGTGACTGTAGGGAGTCCTGCTGTGGAATGAACCCCGTGTGTCATGGGCCAGCAGGAGGGGACCACGGTTGGCACGGGATTGGCAGGGACAGCTTTTCCTCTGGGTGGTGTAGATTTCTGTCCAGTGAAGTCTGGGGAACCCTGGAGACATATTTCCCTCCACACATTCAAGGGGTGAGGGCTCCCCTCTACTGACACAGAGAATAAGTAACAGGAAAAGGATGGAATAGAAAAATCTGGAAGAAAACCTGGAAAGGAAAAATGAAAACTTTCATTAACTTTCTTTCTGAATATTGATACCCCTCCCTCCCTCCCCGTTTCACCAAACTGGATCAGTGAAACATTAAATATGGATGAGAAATTATTCCTGAAGAACTGATTTTTTAAAAATGTGTTTTATTGAAGTATAGTTGATTTGCAGTGTCGTGTTAATTTTTGCTGTACTGCAAAGTGATTCGGTTATACATACATATATGTTTGTGTGTGTGTGTGTGTATATATATATATATATATATATTCTTCATCATATTCTTTTCCATTATGATTTATCACAGAATACTGAATATAGTTCCCTGTGCTGTACAGTAGGATCTTGTTGTTTATCCTTTCTATGTGTAATAGTTTGCATCTGCTAACCCCAAACTCCCAATCCATCCCTTCCCTCACTATCCTCCTTCCTTGACAATCACAAGTCTGTTCTCTATGTTTGTGAGTCTGTTTCTGTTTCATAGGGAAGTTCATTTGTGTCATATTTTAGATTCCACATGTAAGTGATATCATGTGGTATTTGTCTTTCTCTGTCTGACTTACGTCATTTAGTATGAGAGTCTCCTGCTGCATCCATGTTGCTGCAAATGGCATTCTTTCAGTCTTTTTCATGGCTGAATAATATCCCACTATTTATATATACCACATCTTCTTTATCCATTCATCTGTCAATAAACATTTAGGTTATTTCCATGTCTTGGCTATTGTAAATAGTGCTGCTGTGAAATAAGGGTGCATTCATCTTTTTGAATTAGAGTTTTCTCTGCATATATATCCAGGAGTGGTATTTCAGGATGGTATGGTAACTCCGTTTTTAGTTATTGGAGGAACCTCATGCTATTCTCCATAGTGGCTGCACCAACTTACATCCCCACCAACAGTGCAGGAGGGTTCCTTTTTCTCCATGCCCTCGCCAGCGTTTATTTAGTTGTAGACATTTTGATGATGGCCATTCTGACTGGTGTGAGGCGATACCTTATTGCAGTTATGATTTGCATTTCTCTGATGTTTAGTATCTTTTCCTGTGCCTGTTGGCCACCTGTATGTCTGAAGAACTGCGTTATAGTTGTGGTGACATAGGCTGGAATTCTGTCTCTCTTAGTTTATTTTTTAGGGCCGGGGGATGTTTTGAAGACCCTGTGTGAACCGTGTTACCCCTCAGCTGTTGTCTTGTAGACATTTAATCTGTTTATTTGGTGAAAACCAGGGTGACTGTACAACCCGAAGATTCCATATCACCTTCTTTTTGGGAAAATAGCTGAACTGTCTAATTCACAAAAGAATGAGACCCTTTTCTTCTGACACTTTTAGGGTCATAGATTGTTTACTCTTTAGGTTTGTAGAAGGGAATCTATGTGTTCAGGTCAGTTGCTTGATACGTCTTGCTAATACCACACAATGTTTTAATTAAGAAGGAAAACCTAAATGGTTGACATTAGCATGTAGGGAAATTTCAATTTAAAAAAATATGGATTTCTGACTTAAAAAATGTTTATTTAGTCTTTATATATTTGGCTGTTCTGTGTCTTAGTTGTGGCATGTGGGATCATTAGCTATGGCATGCAAACCCTTTGTTGTGGCCTGTGAGATCTAGTTCCCCAACCAAGAATTGAACGTGGACCCTCTGCATTTGGAGTGTGGAGTCTTAGCCACTGGACCACCAGGGAAGTCCCTCTGACTTCTTTTTGAAAGTGGGAGACCTGGCAATACTGGGCATATCTTCCTACAGAGGTGGGATGATTGGCTTGGGAAGAAGTCACTTTCTTTGGACAGGACACTCATTTTCCTCCCCGCCCCAGCCTCCCCCGCCCTGAGACCTGGCAGTGAGGAACTCGGAGGTGGTCCAGGTGCTTGCTTCCGGCACCTTTTCTGATCACCTGTGCCTTCCAAGTTGGAAGCCACAGTAAACATCATCCCTGGCCTCCCTGCAGGTAATTCCTCATGCCCCTGGCCCTCATGGGTGTTTCAGTTTGCACCCCCTTCATGACTTCCTGGACAAACTCAGTGTTAATAGTTACATCTGGGCCATTTGGTGCGTAGCATGGCAGGCCTTCTCCTGATCACAGAAGCCTCCCCCACCCCCTGCAACCAGTGATACTTCCCATCCCTGGGCACTGGCTGGCAGGCGGATGGGTGGCATCTTTCTATGTGAGCAAGACATGATCCCTTGATTCTATGAGCCTTCTTGCCCAGGATGGACATGGCCATTTGTCAGTGGAGCTAATAGGGAAAAAGATTTATTACCTACAGGCTTTACTTTATGAGAACGAAGATTCTGAAGATATAACATCTGTTCTTCGCTCAACAGATGTTATTTCCTTTTCCTATTTTTTTTTCCCCAGATGAGTTGAATATCAAGTCAATAATGTCTTCTCCTCTTCAAAATGAATATCCCACATTTTAGAAAAATATCATGGTAGAAATGAAGATGAATATTTTTGATTTTTGCATTTCATATTCTTACTGTGGAGGTCCTGGAATAGAACCACTCATTTCCCTGAGGACATCAAGTCCTAACATGTACAAGAGAGTTAGGTGTGCACGCAGCTGCCTCTCTTTGGTCCCTATTGTAGAACTAGCTAGGTTCTTGGTCTCCATTTTTGATGCATGAACGTAACCCTGAAGGGACAGCCTCACAGATGCAAACTGAAAAAAGAACCCAATGATCTGGACCTGGGCACATGTTTGGCATCCTGATGGAAATTCAGATGTTAGATGGAGTGCTTCAGTTTTCTCTGAAAATTTCATATGGACATTATCTACAGTCATTTTAATCGTGAAAGCTAGACTTAAATGGTTGTTAAAGGAATACAGGCCCTAACATTCAATAAAACAGAAATGAAAATCTCGCATCTTACACCCCATTTCTCAATTTTGTCACCCCAAACTAATCTTCTCAGTTTCTAGAGCACATAGCCAAGCACCCCCTCTTTCTCTTTTTCCTGCCCTCTGAAACACTGTATTTTACACAAAATAGTTCACAATATACATATTTTTCTCACCTTGATTTTTTTAACTTAACAATATGACTAAAGAATATTCTATGTCAGTACATGTAAATCAGTCTCATTATTTATCCTAGCTATACCCTAGATCATTATATAGATGTTCCATATTTAATTAACCAGCCCTTTGTAAATGAGCATGTAGGCTGTTTACAGGTTTTTGTTACTCTTTTAAAAATCCTGCAACAAATACCCTTGTATATAGGTCTTTGATCGTATGCATGAGAATATGATAGATCTTTAGAATAAATTTCTAGGAATTGAATTGCTAGGTCAAACATCATGTGAGCTTAAGATTTTGATAGATATTGCCCTCCAGAAAGGTGAACTCCCAGCAGAAAAGGCTGTAGGACTTGCCTACTTCAGTATGTTGTTGTTCAGTCAGTAAGTCCTGTCTGACTCTTTGCGACCTCATGGACTGTCGCATACCAGGCTCCTCTGTCCTCCACTGTCTCCTGGAGTTTGCTCAGATTCATGTCCATTGAGTCAGTGATGCTATTTAACCAACTCATCCTCTGCCACCCCCTTCTCCTTTTGCCTTCAGTCTCCCCAGCATCAGGGTCTGTTCCAATGAGTTGGCTCTTTGCATCAGGTGGCCAAAGTATTGGAGCTTCAGCTTCAGTAACAGTCCTTCCTAATGAATATTCAGGGTTTATTTCCTTTAGGATTGAATGGTTTGACCTCCTTGCAGTCCAAGGGATACTTAAGTCTTCTAATAAGTGTAACTTTTCATTTGCCAGTCTGATAAGTGAATAGGCTAGCTCGCTGTAGTTTTAACATGCTTTTAAAAATTATCAGCAAGGCTGAACTTCTCATATTTCTAAAAGTAATCTGCATTTCTTTTTCCTTGAACTGTCTATGTTTATTTTGTGTATAGTAGTATATATATATTTAATCCCAAATTTGTAATTTATCCCTTCCCCTACTTTCCCTTTGGTAACCATGCATTAATTCTCCATGTTTGTGAGTCTATTTCTGTTTTGTAAATAAATTAATTTGTATCATTGTTTTTTTTTAATTCCACATATAAGTGATATCATTTAGCATTTGTCTTTCTCTGCTTTGTTTACTTCACTTAGTAAGATAATCTTTAAGGTCCATCCATGTTGGTGCAAATGGCATTATCTCATTGTTTTTTATGGCTGAATGGTACTCCATTGTATATATGTACCACATCTTCTTTATCCCTTCACCTGGTGATGGACACTTAAGTTGCTTCCATGTCTAGACTGTTCTAAATAGTGCTGAAATGAACACTGGGGGGGCATGCATCTTTTTGAATTAGAGGTTTCTTTGGATGTATGCCCAGGAATGGGATTGCTGGGTCTTACAGTGGTTCTATTTTCAGTTTTTTAAGGAACTTCCATACTGTTTTCCATAGTGACTGCACCAATTTATATTCCCACCAACAGTGTGGGAGGGTTCCGGTTTCTCCACACTTTCCAGCATTTATTGTGTGTAGACTTTTTTATGATGGCCACTCTGGTTGGTGTGAAGTGGTACCTCACTGTATTTTTAATTTTTGATAATTAATGTTGTATTTTTGATAATTAGAGATGTTGAGCATATTTATTAGATATTTTTTGATTTTTGAGTTTTCTTTATTAACAATAGGTCAAGTCAACCGGTGTCTCTTGCATTTCAGGCAGATTCTTTACCAGCTGAGCTACCAGGGAAGCCCGTCATTTATTCAAGGGTTCTTTTACATCCTTCAGTATGAATTGATTGTTTTCTTCATGAGAATGTTGTGTAGTTCTTATTCTTTTGTTCTTAAATGTCTTCTCTTTATTGATTGCATTTATAAATTAAAACATTTCTTCTATTTTTTAGCGTTATTATATGAATACAAGAGAGTTATTCACATTTGCATATTTAATTTGTATCAGCCTCCTTACTAAATTCTTTTACCATTTGTAACAGTGTTTCACTTACTAAATTCTTTTCTTATTTGTAATAGTTTTCATTTTCATTATCAGGCATACATCATTTGAAAATAATGATCATATTATCTCTTCTTAAAAAATATTTTTTACAATGAACAACACAAAGATTACTTTGGTAATTTTAACTTTTCTGGGACCTGGCAGACATTGAAGGCAGTTGATTATTATTTAGTCATCTGGATCTTTATTTCCATTTCTGGGAATTGTTCACAGAGAATTAATCCAAAAGAAGATTCAAGTTAGGAGAACAGTTGAGTGTGTGATGGTGCAGCCTCTCCAGGGACTGTTACCCAAACTCCATTATGAGAGTTAGAGAGAAAAAAAATAAATGAAATAATTCGTATGATATTAAGTGAGAAGAGCAGAATAAAAAAAGAACATGTCTGCACAAAATGATGTCTACTCAAAGCACAAGGACCCTAAAGGAAACTTTTAAAGGATTGATTTTTAGTATGGAGGAAGCAGAGCAATAATAGAAAGATCAAGACCAATTCAGGAGATGTGTATGGAGGACTGTATCTAAAACCAGTTGGCTGGGTGACTGCTGAGGTGGCATTGTATTCCATGTTTTAACAGATGGCTAGAAGTACAATTATTTTATAGATTATTATTAGACTGAAATGAGGGCGTATTTGTAAAGAACCTCACATGATGTCTGCACAGTATAGCTGCTGGCTTCCTCCTCTTTTTCAGCCTTATTTTTTCTCTCTTGTCTGATTGCATCAGCTATTTCTCTTAAAGCATAGGAACTAACGGTGGGATAATGGACATTCTTATCTTTCTCTCTGAAATGTGTGGGCATGCTTTGTGTGTTGTGCCATTAGGCAGAATGGCTTTTATTTTCTTTTGGTTAAAAGGTATCTATTCCTATTTAGTATGTTTTATTCTGTAAAAATATTCATTTATTTTTAATTTATTGAGTTTTTGAAACCTGGGAGTATGTGTTGAATATATTCAAATACCTCTTGAGTACCTCCACAGTCACTCTGATAATTAACTCTTCCCCCAATTCCTGATATAGGTAGTAAGTAGTTCCTTATGTCCAGCTCATTCTTTGCTAATAGTGATGTAACGTTTTTATTCTTTTTTCCCTCAAGGGTTTGAGGTCCTGGCTTCTGCTTCCCATTACTGGCCATTGGAAAATGTGGATGGGATCCACGAACTTCAGGAGACAACTGGAGGTAGACAGGGGTGGGAACAGAAATTGGGGCCCCAGAAATGTGCATCTCTCAGGAATCAGGGGCAGTCCAGAGAGACAGGGAACAACAAACAGCATCAGCTGTGAAGCCAGGATGACAGAGATGAAGAGACATTTGTGTTGCTTCCCCTTAATAATTGTTATTGCAAAGTATTTTCACTAGAACTTTTATATGTTTTAATGATTAAAAGACAGCATTTATGTTTTGAAACATTAAGGTGTGCATTTTCTCCAACAACCTTAAAACAAAAGTTTTCAGCTTTAACCTGTACCCGATGGATCAACCTCTGTATGAGTCAGGATGTATGTTTTCCAGGTAGACACAAATGGCATAATCTGCATGCCTGCCAAAGCAGGGGCCCATTTGAACCTAGGGCCAAAGGTTGTGCCAGTGACGACTAATGCCCTGTTTGTGGGGTCACAATCTGACTTAGCAAAGGTTCAGATTCGCTTACCCATCAGCTCTTCCATACTTCACTGACAGCCCCCCACCCTCCACCCCCATTCCTTGAGGAGATCAAACACCACCCAAGATGCTTCCAGTGGTCTGCAATGCCATGGAAAATAAAGTTTCTGACTCAGTTCAGACTTTGACCAGAAAGAGAAACTCCAGACAGCCCTGAGTACTTTTTCCATTCTAATAAGATTTTTTAAAGTGTTAAGTTTAGAGTGATTTGGGATGCTCTGACATTTTAATTTTTATTCCTCTTGATTATGTCCAATGACTGATTTGTACAGCAGGAGGTTTATGTACAATCCTAGCACTTGCTCAGATTGTCTGTATTGGTTCTTTGTAATGGATTAAAAAACCCCCCACATTGCTGCTTATTAAGCGTCTCACACCAGCACACTGATTTGTTCCTTATTCCCAGGACTTCATGTGCTGCCATAAATTGTCACCTCAGATTCTAAAATGTCTTTCTTAAACTTTGCAAATCAGGAAGTATTACAGTGGATGTCTCTACTGCTGGCATCCTTAGAGGCACTCAAAGAGCAGGGCCCTCCAGAAGGATGCTGTCCTCCTATGCAGGTCTAACCAAAGCCCTGCCTTCATCCGGCATTATCTCTTACTTGCCTATGTGTTGGGCATCAATGGCAGCCATGATGAAAACTTACACTGAACCATTTCAGCTTCATATATTCTCCAAATAGTCTGTGCTATAGGGATGGACTGTTCCTGTGGCAGTTCATTTTGTGACTATCTCGGGTCAAAAGAAATGGCTTCCCCTTGTCATAATCTAATTTTCTCTTCTCAGGGCTTTTATTTTAAAGCCTTTGAAAGGAGATCATTCCAAGTGGAAAATGCATTGTCAAAATAGCTCCATGTTTAGGACCTGGGTGCTAACATTTCCGTAATTACTTTTAAACAAGTGTTCAAATAATGATCCGTATAGTTCTCTCCTCACCCTGTCAACTCATCTCATTGCCATAGGTTATCAGATACAATTACATTGTGGTTGGATTTTGTTCACCCAAAATATTAATTTCCCATAAAACTCAAACTATATGGGTGTTTGTCCTGAAACACTAGAATAATGAAGGTTTCACGGCCCTTTTCCACTGGGTCTATTCTTTATGTTATAGAGCTCTGCTGGTATATTTCAATTTGATTACAGGTTTCTAAGGCAAAAAGAGAAAGGAATAGAATCCGTCAGCACGTTTTACTGCTGGGGACGGTTGAATGGTGTTGGAAATCATCGCGTGGATGCACTGCTTTGTTATTTGTCGCTGAGTTAAATCTCTGTTGTTTCGTCCATTTGTCGTAATAACATGTAGTTGTTTTCATGCTGTGCTTCTGTTTCATCAGTTCTCGCGACATCACAGCCGTTAATCCTTTTTGTTAAGGCTACTTTGTGGTCGAGTTCAATTTCATATCTCTCAACTACGTATCTGAATGGGAGTTGGGCCAGCACATTGGGACCAAATACAACCACCACGGCACCCTGGCTTTGGGACAGCATGGGGCTGCTGGAGGTGCCATAATGTTGACTGAGTCAGTAAGAGGGAGGTGGGGCCAGGAGAGAGAACCCAAGATGTTTGTGGGACGACAGCACACTTGCGGATGTGTGTTATGTTGAGAGATATGTCAGTTCCATTTGTTTTTTGTGTCACTCATTCATTGTGCTTTTTTCTTTTGTTGTTTCACCCAGCATCACGAACCCACAACCTCACTGTGCTCCCTTCTCATAATTCTACCTTTGTTTATACCAATGATTCTGCCTACTCAAATTTCTCTGCAACCGTAGGTGAGCATGTGTTACTTCTGTGTTAAGTTTGGATCTGCAATGAATTGAAAGGCCAATCTGATCTGGTTCTTTATGAATTCACTATGTCTTGACTAGCAAATGAGTGAATATCCCCCCAAGAGCCAAAGATTCAGGGTATTTGACAGTAAGCACCTAAGACCATGACTTAATTCTAAAGGAAATATCACAGACTGAAGGATAGTAGAGGGTGGCTGTGCACTTTCAAGCAACCAGGGTCTTCCAAACCAGCTGCTTATTTTCAGAACAATACAGACATAAGATGAGATAGTTTCCAAAAAATAAACCTTGTTTGGATTTTTAAATGGATTATATTCTTTTGGGAAGGAAAAACATGCCCTTGAAATGGAAAATTAAAGTCAATTTTAAAATACCTCATCAAAAATTTGATATCTTGCAAACGCTAAAATCAGCATTTCTTCTGTAGCTGGAATTTTTTTTTTTTTAAATCATTAGAAGCTGTTTTCTAAAAGACACACCCACAAGAGTCATGGTTAAATGATTATCTTATTTAATAACCTCCAAGGCCCACATGTTTCAGATTTTTCTTAGGCAGCACAGAACAGGACAGATAGTAGCAATTGGGCAACTTTCTGGTCAGTACGGAAAGTTGGCTCAGATAATTTAGGTCTTGCTCCTGGCCTTTTTTTACAATATATAACCGATCGTTCTTTCTACTATGGGATGATTCACTTCCGAAATTAATTTTGCCAAGAAAATAGTCTGGTTCAGGGGTTTATACAGCCTCATTAAATCCTGCAACTTCAAGTTGCCCATTTTAACTATGTAATATATAGATTCCCCTCCCCCAGCAATAAATGAGATAGATTAAAAAAAAAAGGATTTAAAACATTAAGGAAAGACGTTGAAGTCCTTCAGGTTGGTATCCACATGCCAGTGGTTGTTAGAGAATCTGACCTGGGGTAGCGGTCTAGTCAAAGGGCTCCTGGTGCTTCCGTCCATCTTCAGCTGGACCACCAGCTCCGAGGGCAGGACGCAGCTGCCACAGGGCAGAGGAGGCATCTGGGTGGCTTTGATCCCAGTCAACAATGTGTGACTCCTTAGCCTTGGCTTCTATAGTCTTCCCTTATCTATTCTGTAAACCATTTACATCACAGTGACACCATCAGAGAGGTCTGCTATCGGGTTGGGACAAACAGAATGATAGCGGAGCTGGCGTCCCCGCCAGGACAACTGGCCCTGCAGTCAGGTCATTGGCAGGCTCTGCTGGGATGACTCGAAGTGTGGCTCTGAGTTTCCCTCCTAGAGCCTGAAAACGAATTCTCTTAAAATCATGGGTTCCCATGTGTCAGATCATGGGCTTTCAGTGAGAGAATTCAGAAGGAGAAAGAGTGCAGGTATAGTTTTACATTTGAACTTGAATCTCAGGGTTTCACCTGGAAGGTCTCATGTGAAGATGACAGTGAGAAGGACTCATGAAGAGGTGGATGGCATGAAAGTTTAGGACAGTAGGAGATTCTAATCATATGGCTCCTGGTATCTCAACTGTTGATAAATACAGTACTTATAATGTGGTCATATTACAGTGCATATTATACACTGGTGTGATATTAATTACTAGGATACAATATTAATAATATAGAATATTATTTAATATCAACACTATTACTTATATATGAATTATGAAATGTTAAATACCATTAATATTAAATAATATCTGTAATGTCATTGAAAAGAAATATTTAATTATAAATAGAAATAATACAGCATATTTAGATCAAAGTTGTTTTGAAGCCTGACACATCTCCAGACATTTCATCTCCTGCAATTACTAATCTGCAATGTTTGCCATTCTTCTTACTTAGATATTATAGAAGGAAAGGTCAACAAAGGCATTTACCTCAAGGAGGGAAAAGGAGTCACCTTTCTCTATTACAGAAAGAACAAAACTTCCTGCATCAGTAATCCGGCACAGTGTGGCCCTGAGGGTGAGTGATGCGCTCCATTCTTTTCTTTCTTTCTTTTAAGTTCATTTCATTGCCAGGTGGCATCTGTTCCTCTGGGCTGTGGCAGATGTGAAGACAAAGTTCAGCTGCACCATGCATGCATACGGACTTGAGGGGAGGGGTGGGGATGGGGATGCAGAGACTGGTCCTGGAGATGGAATTAAAACACCATTTCACAGAGGCATGAGAGCAAAGTATTTAATCTTGTAAAGCAAAAAGAAACAAACAACAACAACCAAACCCCCCAAGAAACAGATAAAAAAGAACCGTCCATAAAAAGCAGACACGGTGATGTTGCAGTGGAGTTTGCATGGGACCATGGCGTTTGTGGGCAGGAAATTGATGGTGTGGCTCACGGGACGTTATTTCTGGCTCCAGGATGTTGGCCATGGGTCTGGGCGGGGCATGCCTTTTAAGACTTGTGCCATGGGTTCGCTTCTTTTATATCCATGGAGATTGGAGGGGGCAGTGGTGAGAGCTGTCCCAACGAAAGGTTGTAGGCCTGTGGTTAAAATAATACCATGGGTGAAACACATAGGTACAAAAGAGAAGTTAAGAATCTGTTCCTTCTTCTTCTTCCTTTTTTTTTCCTATGAAAAAGTAACCGGCTCTCTAGGATCTGAGCTTCAGAAAATGAAGATTTGAGCCACATTTCAAAACATTCTGGGAAACTGTTCTCTGCCATCCAAATCAGTTTCAAGCCTCCAAGTTCCCTTATCCTAAGCAACTGAAAATTTTTCTTTCTAGGAAAAAAAAAAATGTTTAATGCAAGCGGGTCTGAAAGCCCTAAGTCTTTTTGGACATCCAATGGGCTTATCAAAACTGCCCTGTGATGAACTGATTGTTCTCCACCTCTCTGGGCCCTATGGGTTGCATTCCAGTAAAAGTAAACAGAGCTTAACAAGGTGATAACGTGTGGGAGGATACATTTTGGACTTTGCAGAACCCAGAGTTTTGAGAAAGGGATTTGAGGTCTAAAACCACAGCCAGGTTTACAAATCCACAGTTCAAGCTGTTCCTGAATTCAAACAGCCCTATAAACACAGCAGAGTTGTTTATTTCTCTAAATTTAAAACAGCCCCGCCTCAGCTACAAGGACTAAGAGAAACAAGAGGGCAGCGGGTGCCTGCCTCACCCTTCCCCTGTCTTGGTCAGGAGGGCGGGGGAGGAGGAGCAGGGTGGGGGTGTGTTTCTGTCCAGTTTGTCTCTGGGTCTGAGAGGGAACAGCCTCTCTTTGGAAGAAAGGTGTCTCTACAGCCCCAGCTACCAACTGGAATTGACTCAGGTGGGAGGGGAAGGCCCCATGAATTCCAGTAGCTGGGCACTGTCACAGATAACCAGCCTTTGAGTGATGACGATGATAGGACCAGTGGTGACTCTGATAGTGACCAGCTACTGGAAATCAGAACTATTGGAAAACTTTACCTGAATTCTGAGGTCATAAACTAGAGGCCTCTGAGCTCACTCACCCTGCCCTGTGGTTGGGCCTGGTTTTGCAGGCATGGAGTTAAAATTTTTTGATTAGCTGCCAACGTTGAAAAAGAGGACAATTTCACATAAAAATACAAATTCCCAGTTTCTCTTGAGAAATCTCCCTCCCTTATCCCAATCTTGTGAAGCTGAATGGAGGGGCCCTCTCTTGTGTTGGATATTGCCCTTCAGCTCATCACTGACTTCTGACCCTTTGATCATTGGACCTGCTGGACATAGAGCAGGTTAATGGTTTGGGCTCCAGGGCCAGGCAGCCTGGGTTTCAGTGGTGTTCTGATCCTTTCTGTGGTGACCTTGGGCAACCACTTAACTTCTGAGTCCAAATTCCTTACCTGTAACACGGGTCAATCAAAGCCAGATTTTAGTTCCCTGCTCATGGGGTTGTTCTGAAGACTGGCATGTGGCTGGTCCAACACTGACCAGCCTGTTGGGGTCCTATCCTGTATGGGTGCCTCCCAATGTGCCTCCTATCCCCAGGATCTTGGTCCTCACTCTGTCTGCCTGCTTGGATGTGACCCTATGACAGGGGCCAACATGGCTGGACCAATTGTCATAATCACCCACAATCATGCATCGTTTAGTTGGTGCCAGTGTTCTTGGACTGCAAGGAGATCAAACCACTCAATCCTAAAGGAAATTGGTCCTGAATATTCATTGGAAGGACTGATGCTGAAGCTGAAACTCCAGTACTTTGGCCACCTGATGTGAAGAGCTGACCCATTGGAAAAGACCCTGATGCTGGGAAAGATTGAAGGCAGGAGAAGAAGGGGACAACAGAGGATGAGGTGGTTGGATGGCATCACCCACTCGACGGACATGAGTTTGAGCAAGCTCCGGGAGTTGGTGATGGACAGGGAAGCCTGGCATGCTGCAGTCCATGGAGTCACAGAGAGTTGGACATGACTGAGCGACTGAACTGAACTAAACTGAGTGTTCTAATCCCATTACATGTACTAATTTCATCCTCCAAAAAAATGAGACAGACAAGAGCTCACATGGTATAGAGAGCTGTAACTTTTGGCTTCATGTTTCCACCCTGTTGATACCTTCTTATGTGTTCTGGTTAACTGAAGCCTTTGAAGGTATTTTTTTTGGGTGGCCACTTTTCTAGAGTATGGCCAGATATGTGGTGAAGCCAGGAAACCTCAAGTCAACTTTGGTGCCCTGAGACCATGCTAGCAGGCGTCTTAATGTGGCAGATGCTGAGGGAAGTTGGGTATTTCTTGCTCCATATACCTCCCTCAGTTTGGACTTCAGACAGGACCACCGAACATGGGTGTCATCCTAAGGATCACTGTAAGCATTTCTCCATTTTATTGACCATATCCTTTGTTCTGGGGGGGTTTCCCTGGGGCCTCAATGAGTTTGCATTTCTGTGTTTAAGGAGAACAGGATTTGAACAGGAAAAGTCCATCCAACATTTTTCAAATCAAACTCCACCTGGCTTTTGAAGTAGGTGAGATGATTTCAAGTGCACTTTTAGTGATTAAACACATTTTTTTTTTTTTTTTTGCTTTGCTGGATCTTTGTTGTTGCTTGAAGTCTTTCTCTAGTTGCAGAGAGCAGGGGTTACTCGGTATTTGCAGAGCTGGGATTATATATATATATATATGTATGTATGTATGTTTGGCTGTGCTGTGTGATGTGTGGGATCTTAGTTCCCTAACCAGAGATTGAACCCAGGTCCTGGCAATGAAAGCACAGAGTCCTAACCACTGGACCACCAGGGAATTCCCTCAACACTTAAAGAGAGAAACACTTCCCACACCCAGTGGAGCAGGTCAATTGTTTTCATATTTGTGATTTCCCAATTCTCTTGTGGTCTCTGTTCATATTTTTGGCTGCTTTTATTTTTTTTTAAGACCGTTATAGGAGACAGGGTTGAGGTTTGAACTTTTCAAAAAAGGATAAAACATCTGAGCAATTTAGCTGTTCCCTCTCCGAGTTCTCAGCTAGAACGTGGGATCTTCCTTCTCTGCCAGCTGCTCACTCTGAGGTTTCGAACCCATGACCTGCTTGTCTTAGGGTGTTTCTCCACCCACTTGGCCAGTTTCTCTTGTTTCTCTGAGCTGACTGTGTGACCTGTCTTTTGGCAAATTGTGCCTCCTGGGAAATTTCCTCATGGGCGTTGGGTACAAATGGGAGAGAGGCTCTGGAGGATCCTTTGAGAGAGAAAGTCTATTTGAACATTAACCAGAGAAAGCACAGTCTGTGTTCCTTCAATACTGAGGCAACTCTCCTCCAATTCCCACGACCAGCAGACACACAAGGCAGAAATCCACATGAGGAGGGAGTCCTCCTGCAGTGTTCTAGTGCCTTGTTTCACTCCCCTGTAAACCTTATTTTAATTTTATTGTTTTATTGGCTTTGCTGGGTCTTTGTTGAGGCACGTGGGCTTTCTTCAGTTGCTTTGCGCAGACTTAGTTACCCCTCAGCATGTGGGATCTTAGTTCCCTGACCAGGGATTGAACGCACATCCCTTGCATTGGAAGGTAGATTCTTAGCCAGTTGGAAAGTGGATTCTTAACCACTGGACCACCAGGGAAGTGCTCCCTATAGACATTGAGGGCTCAGCTCCAGTGTGGCTCTTACGAGATGAGTCCCACACCAGTTGCGTTCCTCTTTGCTCTCACAGGTCCCTGAATGTCCCCCTCTGTCCCTTGCAGCTTTGGTGATGACCTGCCCATTATGTGTCCTCCTTCTTGGACATTTAGCTCTGCAAAGGCAGGGACTCTCTCTGTCTTGGTCACTGTTGTATTTTCAGGGATGAATATCAGCTCGATAGATGCTTGATCCCTATCAATTGAACAGATACATCGAGTCTGTCTTTCTGATGCTTAAATGCCTTTGAATGCTTCCCCAGCACATATTTGATGGGCCGTCATTTGCGTATCACTTGTGATGAGTCCTCCTCCATCCTGAATGGGCCAGTCCCATTTTTGCACCCCTCTGACTTTTAGATACTTCTTTCTGATATTGTACTAAATTCCATTTTGAGTAATTACCTCTAATTCCACTTCAACTCCCAATCACCTTGGATGCCTGCCAGAAAGAATTTCTTCCTGTTTTACTTGTTAATTTTTCTCCCTCTGGAAATGTACCCTTCTTTTTTCCCTCTTGTGCATTAGAGCTTCCTCTGCTTATAAACACCAAGAAACCTGCCACAGCTCCATAGCAGCAGCTGGAATATCTCAGCATCCACATTCTCTTCTCAGCATCGACAGGACTTTTTAGACCCTTTGCATTAGGTCACTAACTTCAACTTTGCATTAGGTCACTAACTTCAATGCCATCAACAAAATGGTAAAATATTCTGAATGGTGTTTCAGGACAAACATTTCCAGAAGGGCCTGACAGTTCAGCACAGATTCAACTTCTGTCTTCCTTAGATGATTGGGGGTTTTAGGGATGTTTGAAAGCCTGATGGAGCTTCAGAGAGAAGTATTCATTCACCACATCCATTTCACAGATGGGCAGACTGAGGTCCAGAG